GAACCCGTGTCCCCTGCATCGGCAGGCGGACTCTCAACCACTGCGCCACCAGGGAAGCCCCATGCAGTATTTTTGAAAATCAAAAGTAACGCCTCAAATCCAGGATGAACAAAATATCAAAGTTTTAAATACAGGCAGCATGGGTATTCTGATTTTTCTTTTTGCATCAGGCTCCAGTACAGCTTGGCATGGCATGGTTACAGATCTTTGTTTGAAATTTTAACATTTTTGTTTATCTTGGATTTTTGGCATTAATTTTTATTTTTTTCAATTGCATCAAAATACTGTTTTCTTGATCACTGAGTGTTTTTGGCATCCCCTTAAATTTGGTATGCAAGGTGAGTGCCTCCTTGCTTAAGCCTGGTCCCAGCCCTAGTGGGGCCGCCCACAGGGTGGGGCAGGGCTGGCAGGGAAGTCCCCAGGCCAGTGCGGACGATGGGGGTGACAATCACATCCGTAATGAAATGACATCTAACATGCACTGAGGTCTCTGGGCCAAGCACTGTTCTCGAGCCCTCCCGTCCTTCCTTCTGGATCACCTACTATATGCTGAGCGCTCAGGATAGAGCAGACCGATACACTTCCCTGCCACTCAGAACCCACATCCCGGTTTGGGCAGAGAGATGATAAAAGAATAAAATGCGTGAGAATCGGCAAAATGTGAGGCGCGCAGTGCTACAGGCTAAAGAGAAGAAATAACGAAGAAAAGAAGACATGAACCATGTTTTAGGCACGGTCACCAAGAATGACATCCCTGAAACGCCACGACCACCCAGGAGGGAGAGTTATTACTCAGCCCCATTCTCAGATGAGGAAACTGAAGCAGCCTGCCCAGGAAGTGACAGCTGGGTTCCCAGCCTGCCCCGACTGGTGCCAGCGGGCTTTTTATTGTGGGGAGGGAGAGGGAGGGGAGAAGCGGGAAGACATCACGTAGAACCAGATGGAATGAGGGCACCAGGACTTCTTTCTCCACTTAAAGGGGCCGCCTTGACTGTACTTTGGGCAGGACTGTCTCCGCCTCCCTAATGGGAAAGGCCAGGTTGGCTCAGCCTGGCCACCACCGGGCCCCACCCCACCAGGGACAACCCCCCCTCCCCCGCCCCGGGTAGGGGCCCTTTAAGGCCGTCCCCCCCCACCCCCGGAGCTGGCAACGTGACCGCCTCCCTCAAGTGTGCAAATTCATTCATGCAGGGGCCCCTGCTGACTCACGCTTATGAAAGTGATTTTCCTGGCCCCGCCCACCGCCCGCCTCCTCCCAACTCGTGAAATACCCTCGCTTCCCGGCCTCTCATAGCCTCTTGGATCCCCACGGGGTAATGGGTGTCCTGCTCCCTCGGCCGGCACCGTAAGCCCTGGTTCTCCGAGTGCCTGACCAGGCCAGGCTCACGAGTGTCCTCGACCCCTGCCCGTCAGGTGAGTGGCCCAGGCGAGGCATGCGGGGGAGGTGGGAGAAGCTAGTCCCTCCCAGGCAGGGGTGGCCACGGGGCCCTGGAGCCACACAGGCTCCCCGGACCAGCATGATCGCCCCCACCCCAGGGTCCTCCCTCGCCCCTCCTGGCCATGCCCATCTCCAGGTGCCTGGCACCCTCAGCTGACAGCTGCCCTGCCCGCTTGGAGTACACTCCAGCCCATGTGATGCTGCTCTGGGCAGGAAAGAGAGGTGTGGCCAGCCCGGGCAGGCTGCCCGGCGCCCCGAGGCCACTGGGTCACAGAGGCAGGCTCGGTGCTGCCCTCCGGGACCACGCCTCTCCTGCTTGCAGGGGACAGAGGTCCCAGGCACCTGCCCTCGGCTCCCGCCGCAGGGTCCCGGGGACCTGGCTTCTCCCAGGAGGGTTGGGGTGCCCAGAATGAGGGGCCCCAGAGGGTCTGGGGAGCCTCGGAGCTCTTGGGGCTCCAGATGGGGGAGGCTCCAGGGGGAGGTGGTGCCACGGGGCTTTCGCTGGGGTTGAGGCGTCACCCTGGCGACTGGCAGCGCCTCCTCAGCGCCCAACCTTCCCCCCCACCCCCCCCCACCCCCGCCGGCACTTTCTTGGTGGCACTGTTGTCATGCTGTTTTCCCCAGAGAGCACTCACCCCGCCTCTGACAGGTATCAAGGGGCAGGATTAGGACTCAGGGGCGTGGTCTCCAACAGTCCTGGGAAAGACACCTGCTCCCTCCTGACCCCAGTTTTTCCCTCTGGGCAATGGGGATAAGAAAACCCACGGGGCAGGGGGGGTGGGGGGTTGTCATTAAAGTGAAATGAGCAAAAAGCCACCACAGGTACTCAGTAAATGTAGCCATACAGGTGCCCTGAGTCTTAGAGCAGTTTCAAGCTTTGATAACCCTAGAAGTTCCAATGCTGCAAACTCCAAAGAAAGAAAGAGAAAATAATTGCACCTCGGAAGGTGCAGTTATTCCCAGTTCTTTTAGGCTTCTTTTCTCTTGTGAACTTGAATGAGTTTTCAATGTTAACTTTTTTCAGTGGACATTTGCCATCTCCAACCAGAGGAACTCCAACAAAACGTTCGCATTAAAAACTGACCGTTCCAACTCCACAAAACTAAAAAGCATAGCAGAAATGGGAAGTTAAACTTTCAAATGAAAGTTGGCTGCATGCGTTCTTCCGAGGTTTTGAGAGCTTTGTCTCAGGACTTGGGGCTGTATCGCTGCACAGGAAGTAACCTCTCAGGTCAGCCTCTGGGTGGTGACCTCATGTGTGTGGCATCCAGAAGCTTCTGGCAGCGAGCACTGGACTTGGAGTCCAAAAGCTCTGGTGGTAAATGGGGCCCCTTTGCCTCCGGGAAGCGTGAAAAGGGGGCAGTCAGTTCTGATTCCTCATCTGTAAACGGGGGCTTCTGCAAGTACCCTCCTTACTGGCTCTGGGAGGATTCAAAGGGACTGGGATCCTCAATCCTTTACTGAAGCTTCAGGTAAAGGACTTGGCCCGGGGTGGGCACTCCGTGGGCGCGGGGAACAGGTTGACACCCATTGTGGGAGGCTATGGGGTGTCTAGGTGGTCTGAGCCCTCAGTGAACAAACTAGTTTCATGACCCACTGGCTCTGTGACCAGGGGGGCATGGCCTCACCTCCCTGAGCCTCAGTTTTCCGGTCTGTAAAGTGGGCTCCATGAGGATTAAAGGAGCCGATGCAGAAGGAGCATCTTGCAAGGACATCACCTGCGTCCCGTTGCTGCTATTCCTGGGGACTGTGAGGACGTGCAGTGCAGGGCCCTGGGGCTGTTTGAAGGAACCAGGAGGAAGAGTTCTGGGAAGCACAGCCCTCCTCCCCAGGGCCACCAGGCACACCCAGCGGCCGGTGGTTAGTGAGAAACTGTGCCCTCCCAGCTGCGAGCATTGGCCACCTGGCCTCCCTCCCCCGACACCAGCGCTGGGACAGAGCAGCAGGGTGGGCAGGGATGGGTACGCGTGCTACACTCAGCCGGGTAGGAGGGGCCTCTGTCACACACTGTCACACTGTCACTCCAGCTCGGGGGGCACAGAGAAGACTCTGGAACAGGCCATCCCGGGCTCAAACCCAGCTCGGCCTGCGCGAGCTGGGGCAAACTCCTCGCAAACCGTACGGGGCTGTGAGAAGCTCGCTGGGCCTCAGTTTCCCCGTCTGTAACACGAGAGTGATTGCAAGAGTCCTTATAACAACGCAGTTAAATACGGATTAAGTTAGTTAATGCGCATGAAGTGTTTCGAGCATGCCTGTCACCTGGCTGACTCCATGGAAGTACGGAAATGTTGGTCATTCTGTGTCGTTGTTGGCAGTGGCAGTGGTGTCACCCCAGAATCCTCTTCCCAGGCAGACAGCCTGGGCCCCTGCAGGGAACCAGGCGTGGAGAGAGCCACGTGGTCCCTGATGGGGAACACGGGGCTCACCAAGACGGGACGAGGAGGCTGTCCCAGCCCAGGCCCCAGCTGAGGTGAGGAAGGCCATTCTCAGGGGACCTGAGGGCACTGGGGAGGGAGTCCTTAAATGTCACATCCCCCTGTGTGACACTGGAGACACCCTTCACCCTCTGAGCTTCCCTTTCCTCACCTGCCAGATGGCGGTGACGCCGCCCACCTCTCAGGGTGCCCGAGAGTCCCAGATGCTACGGCTCAGGTGGGAGCTCCTCCCCTCGCAAACTGCGAAGTGCTGTGCGAAGGTCCATTGTTGTTGCTGTGGGAGTGACACCCAGGCCCTCCCAGCAGCCTGCCTGGGCGGTTGTCCCTCGCCCCTCTGCTCGGGACCTGCCTGCCCAGCGGCGGACACTGCTGTTGCTGTCATTGTGCACACATCAGAGGTCGTACGCTGGCCTCGGCTGCGTTTCACCAGCCTGTTCAAGGTTTTCAAAAAGTGTGAATTAGTTGCCCACTTTTCCAAATCAGAGAACTCACATTAAAAACCCAGATTTCAGCCTTTTCTGGAAGAATCCTGAAGGCCAGCGATGCCGGGCCCCCATCCCTGGCTGCTCTGGGTGGTCTGGGCCCTGTGCCCTCCATTCACCCTTTTACTTGCTACCAGCCCCACGTCTCCCTGGGGACAGGCCAAGCGGCGTGCACGGTGCATTCAGGCAAAGCCTCGGCACCATTAGCCCTGGATTTAAAAGTCGGCTGCGTGATACTGAGCAACTTGTGCGACTTCTCCGAGCCCCAGTTTACCCATCTGTAAGTGGGATAATAGCACCGACAGTGCTTTCTGCATAGGGTCAGTGAGAGGAGGACATGAGAAAAAACATGTCAAATACCTGGGACATAGAAAGTGCTAAGTGTCTGCCTGCTCCTCACATGCTCGTGTGCATGTTGCCCTGTGGTGGTCAGGACAGCAGGGCTGCTGGACAGTGGGTGAGGCCAGGGCCCCCGTTAGCTCGTCTAGGAGGATGTGGAGAAGGTGGGTCTGGACTCTCCTCAGGCACCTGCAGCCCTAAGAACGGGGTTTGGGTCTCGCTGAGTGATTTGGGCTTGTGGCCAGCAGGGGGCGCTGGTGCTCCAGAGACAAGCAGGTTTGCATGCATTTCTCCCCAAACCAAGGGGCTCAGGCTTCCGTGGTTTCTGCATGTCCACCTGTTCTAGCCCAGCCTCTGGAGGAGACAGTGAGCTCTGGTCTCTTCCCGGTGGCCCGTTTTCTCGAGGCAGTTGCTTCACGTACAGTACCTGTGTCCGCCACCCCCACCCCCGCCTCCAACAACCCCATGGGGTAGAGACGATTATTATTCCCATTTTACAGATGAGGAAACTGAGACCCAGAGAGGTCGCCAGTTCAGAAGTGCCTCTCCAGGGCCAAGTCCACTGAAGACCCGCGGGCCGGATTGTGGGGTGAGGGCTGTGGCAGTCACAGGAGTGCTGGGCAGGGCTTGCCCACAGTTGGGCAGAGGGGGGCCTCATGGAAGCTGAATAAGCTTCGAGGACAGTTACTGCCCCTGATGAGATGGGGAGTGTGGAGTGAGGCTCAGAGAGAGGAGGTGACCGGGCTGGGGGAGATAGCCCTGCATAACTGGACCTGTTTAGAGTATAGCAGGTATGAGAGGGGAGTGTCATCCTGATAAGACTCAGGGAGGACCTTGGACTTGATCCTGAGGGCCACAGGAGGTCACCCTGCAGCTGGCAAGTGAGTGCATGACACCCCGGCTCACCGAGGGGCCCCTCCTCCCCTGTGCCCCCAGGTTGCTGCCAGCCCCAAGCCCCCCCGAGAGCCCCAGCCATGAGCAACGGATGGAAGGACCACCTTGGTGCCAGCAGCTCAAAGCCCCTCCCGGTCGTCGTCATCGGTGAGTGCCGCCCAGGGTGGGGGAGGGGCCGCCCTGAGCCCCAAGGGTTAGAGGTCAGGAGCGGGCAGGCCCCGGAGCGGTCACTCTGTGCCCAGTGCTGTGCTCAGCAATTTATAAAACATCATCTGAGTAGCCCTCCCAAGAACCCTCGAGGCAAGAGCAGGGTGCTCTGCAGGGCTTGCGCAGTAGGGGCGGGGCAGGGCGTCGGGGGACTGGTTCTGTGCCTGTGCCCGTCCTGTGCTTTCCCTGTGCCTGTGTGACGGGGACGCAGCCGAAGCATGTGGTCCTGCCGTCAGGTCTGAACAAATGGGGGACGGAGGGCCCCTCCCTCCGGGCAAACACCAGGTCGAACCACATGAAATGGCCATTTTCGTAAGTTAAAAACAGTTGCGCGTCGGCCATTTCATAGGGTTTGTCTGAACAGCTAGCTGTCTACGTGTGAGTTAAGACTGGGAACAGCACAACGTAAGACAGGAAAGACAGAGAAGAACAGGAGTGATGTCATGAGGTTAAGTGCCCCAAAAGTGCCTCTGATAAGCAGTGTGGTTCATCCAGACCTGGGGGCAGGCGGCCCCACAGGTGGCTTAGCGCCCACCCTGAGCACCCTTGGCCCCCGAGCTCACCCCCAGAGCACGTAGCCATCTGTGCTGTAATATTTTACACATCCCTCTGACCAACCTGACCCCACTGTCAGCTCTCAGTAATCTCAGGATCTCAGTCATGCCGCTGTGTGACCACAAGCAAGTCAGTTAACCTCTCTGTGCCCCAGCTTCCTCAAGTAGAAAAGGAGGAAAAGTAGCACGTGTCTGGCTCAGTGCGCTCAGGGCTGTGCAGGGGCCTGGTACTGCAGCAGCGGATGTCAGTTTCTTATTATTTTGTTGTTATTAAAATCACTTGACACACAGTAAGCACTCAGTAACTGTCAGCGGTTATTTACACAACTTTGTTGTTGCTCAAGCGGTGTAGTGCTAATAAATGTTCCATTTTTATTTTTATGCCTGAAGAGCAAATCAATGAACGAGACAAATGGAGCCCAAAGCCCTCGGTGGCGGTGGTCTCTCGTGCTCAAAAGCGCTGCCCTCTGACCCCGCCCTCTCTCCCCAGGCAATGGTCCCTCGGGCATCTGCCTGTCCTACCTGCTCTCGGGTTACAACCCCTACGTGAAGCCGGATGCCATCCACCCACACCCCGTGCTGCAGAGGAAGCTCACCGAGGCGCCGGGGGTCTCCATCGTGGACCAGGTGGGCTTGAGCTCCGGGTGGGAGGGACACCCCCACTGCGGGGAAACTCTCCCAGGAACAAATCAAAAGGATGCATTTACGAGACATAAGACCAAACGTGCGAGAGCTCACAAAATCAGCCACAGAAACTGGGGAAGAGGAATCACAGCTGTCTTTGAAGACTTACAAATCCCACACCAGCTTGTCTCAGCTCCCCTAGACCAGTGCTTCTAAACCCAGGGATGATTTCCGCCCCCACCCCCCGGGACACTTGGCCACCTGGAGACAGTGTCGGTTGTCACGACCAGTGTGGTGACGCCACAGGCATAGAGGGTCGAGGCCAGGGATGCTGTTAAACATCCTACGATGCACAGGACGGGCCCCACCACAAAGGATTATCCAGCCCAAAGGCCAGTTGTGCCACAGCTGAGAACCCCTGCCCTAGATTATTGCAGGTCCACCAGCCCCTGCTCAGGAGGGCTCACCAACCTCCCCTCCACGCCCCTCGCCTTCCAGGAGGCCACTCAGTGTCTGCCCCCCACTTCAGGCAGCATCCATCCTCCTGGGCCCCTCCCAGCGTCAAGCTGGTGGGTGAGGAAGTAAGTTGGCATTGGGTCTAGATAGGCATTTTCCAGACTGCCTTCTACAGCAGGGGTTGCCCCCGCGGGGGACCCCCCCCACCCCGCCCAACCTGGGCCACACAGCAGGAGGTGAGCAGCAGGCAAGTGAAGAGAAGCTTCATCTGCCTCTCCCCATCGCTCCCCGTCGCTCACATGACCGCCTAAACCATCCCCCTCCGCCCCACCCTCGTCTGTGGAAAAATTCTCTTCCACGAAACCAGTCCCTGGTGCCAAAAATATTGGGGACCACTGTTGTACAGGACAGCCGTCCCTCGGTATAATATGCAGAGAAAAATGTCCCTGCTTCAGTAAATCTGAGAGACACTGGGTTTGGCAAAATTAAACGGGTAAGTGACAGCTGCAGGACTTGTCAGAGACTTTAATTTGCTGATGTGCACTATCTCCTTTTGAGAGGCAGCATTTCCCAAGCTTATCTGACACCCTGATACTAGGGTGGAAAGGCAGGACCAGGTGGCCTTCCTCCAGTGGGCCCTCTGACTTGTGTCCCCCTGCCCAGGACCTGGATTACCTGTCCGAAGGCCTTGAAGGCCGGTGCCAAAGCCCTGTGGCCCTGCTGTTTGATGCCCTCCTGCGCCCAGACACAGACTTTGGGGGCAACGTGGAGTCTGTCCTCACCTGGAAGCACCAGAAGGAGCGAGCCATCCCCCACCTGGTCCTGGGCCGGAACCTGCCAGGGGGCGCCTGGCATGTGAGTGGGGCCCAGAAGGGGTGAGGGGACTTGAGCCAAATCTACATGAAGTCTGGGGGAGGGGGAGGGGAGGGGGGGGGGGGGGGGGGGGGGGGGGCCGGGGGGGCTCCGGCCCCCTCCCTCCTCCCTCCTCCCTCCTCCTCCCTAACTCGGGTTAGGACGCTTCCATTGCCCACCTTTCCCTATTCACCTCCCCCTCCCCCCACCCCTCAGCCTGCCGTCCAGCCCTCAGTGGATTGGGGGCCAGCAGAAGCCTGGACTTTGGTCTCCTTTCCTCCCAGTCCATTGAAGGCTCCATGGTGACCCTGAGCCAAGGCGATTGGATGGGGCTCCCGGACCTGCAGGTCAAGGACTGGATGTGCAGGAAGCGAAGGTGAGGCTGCCCTGGAAAGCCCCAGATGGGCAGGGAAGACCTGGGCCCGACCCGACATTGAACTGGGAGCCAAAGGGCTTCGGGGCTCATCTAGCCCGCCCTTCCTCTTACTCCAGCGGGGGAAGCTGAGGTTCGGCTGGGGAAAGGACTTGCCCAGGACCACACGGGGAGTGAAGAGCAGAGCTGCGGTCACCTAGGACTCCCTGTCCAGTGCGCCTGCTGCACGACCTCGACCTGGCCTCCTTGTAGCATCCCAGGCTCTAAGGAGAGGGTGACAGCTGGCCCCTGCCCCCCACGCCCTGCCCCGGAGCCTCCAGCCCAGGCTCCCAGCCCTCTGGCCTCCCACGATTCTGAGCCTGGCCTGGAACAGTCTCTTTTTGTCTAGGTCAGCTAATAGGATGCACTTTTTTAAAAAAATATTTCTGCATTAGAAACATAACCATACTATAGAAAACTGAAAACTGAGAAAAGGAAAACAACTGATGCCTACCTGGCACCGCCGCATCTCGGGGGGTTCTCTTCCCATCCGGTTTCCTGCTCCATAAAGACCACACTGCACACTTCTCTCCACCCCAGAGAGACAGCAGAATCACTGAATAGATAAATTCCAGCCCCTGCTCGCCCTCGTACGCTTCCGCCGCCCTCGGGGCTGTGACAGGGGGCCTGTTGTCCCCACCGAGGAGGCGGTCGGCCTCTCTGGCAGCTCCGTTTCCACCCCTCTGGGGCTCACTGTCCCTTGGACACAAAGACTTTTTGTCCCTGAAAATTTGATAGGAAGACATCCAGGCTGGTGTAGTGATGTGTTAACAGACAGATGGGAACGTAAATTTAACTTGTGGACACGCCCTTTTCTATCGGACTCTTAAAATGTAACATTATGTCATGAGGATTTCACATGGCCATTACACAGTGTTTGCAACCATCCTTTCACATGGCCACTTATACTCCCAAGAGACGGTGAGCATCTTCACTGAGTAATTCCTCCATACCCAGCCTTGTGCTTAGTTAGATGTTGGAGCCAAAAGCCACAACAGATGCACTCCCGTCCTCATGGTGCTGCCACGGTTCCTAAACCACTTCCCAGTCATGGAGCTTTCATTCTTTCCAGTGTGCCACTATTATAAAGAGCCCCGGATGCAACATCCTCTCAGGACAGTCCTTTGAAACAATTTTTACTAAAATAGAGGAGGGGAAATGACCAGCCCACAGGCATGGATTCCAGACTTCCAGTTTCAGGAGCAGACTAACAGTTGGGTTGGTTGGAGCAGCCTTAGGGGATGTGCTCTGAGCTCACGCTGCAATCAGGAGTTGTATTGAAGGCCTGTCAAAGAGGATTCCCTTCAAGTGAGTTAATCCGTAACAAAGTGTCCACAAGTCAGGAAAAGTAACTCACCTAAGGTCACCCAGGTAGCTACAGGGAGGAGCTGAGATGATGTCAAAGTCTGTGCGTCGGGCTTCCCTGGTGGTGCAATGGTTGAGAGTCTGCCTGCCGATGCAGGGGACGTGGGTTCGTGCCCCGGTCCGGGAGGATCCCACGTGCCGCGGAGCGGCTGGGCCCGTGAGCCATGGCCGCTGAGCCTGCGCGTCCGGAGCCTGTGCTCCGCAACGGGAGAGGCAAAAGCAGGGAGGGCCCGCCTACCCGAAAAAAAAAAAAAAAATGTCTGTGCGTCACCCACTGGCAACGCTGGCCCTAGTCATGGCCCCAGAAAGGATTGCAATAATAGCAATAGAAATAACAACAACAACAGTAGTAATATCATAATAAGAATAGTCTCTGCTGCCACTGTGTGGGCTAAGGACTATGCTAAGTGCTTTACATGGGCTATGCTTTAACCAGCTTACTTACTGAAATACAGGGACATACAGAGAGCTACACAGTTCATATGCCTACAGGTGGGTGAAATTTCTCAAAGTGGAGACACCTGCGCTTCAGCCACCCAGACTCAACAAACAGATCCCCCCCTATCCCCAGCAGCCCCCTCAGACCCCGCCCGGTCACCACCCACTTCCTAAGAGGTAGCCACTCGCTTGACCTCTAACTCTGTAGATTAGTTTTGTCTGTTTCTGAACTTTATAAAAATGGAATCCTACCACATTTATGTAAAATATTATTTAGTTATTTGAGGAAATAGTGGCCGACCTCATGTCACTTACTACCTGTCATGTTCTACTCTAAATTCTTCATTCGTATTATCTAAGCCTCTCAACAATGGCAGGGAACGGGTGCTGTCACCACGGTCATCCTCATTTTGCAAAGGAGGAGCCCAGGCAGAGGGTTCCAGGCCCAGAGCTCACTGGTGGCAGAGCCAGGATTTGAACCCAGGCTGTCTGGCACCGGAGGCCACACTCTGAACCCCACCCTAATGAGGCACCCTTATCAGCTCCATTTTACAGAAGAGGAGACTGAGGCTCCGAGAGGTTAAACCACTTAACCAAGTCCTACACGTCTGGGTGGTGCAGCCACCGTCCAGCTCCAGGGCCTGACTCCAGCCTGTCCACCTCCCCCGCAGTCCGCTCTGTGACACTCACCCTCCCTCGTCCTTCCCCGCAGAGGTCTTCGCAACAGCCGGGCCACGGCCGGGGACATCGCCCACTACTATAGGGACTACGTGATCAAGAAGGGCCTGAGCCATAATTTTGTGTCTGGCGCCGTGGTCACGGCCGTGGAGTGGGGGACACCCGAGCCCAGCAGCCCCGGCGCCCGGGACCCCAGCCCCCTCTTCCAGGTGAACGGCTTCGTGACCACCGCGGACCAGAGCCAGCAGCCCTTCTCCCTATGCGCCCGCAACGTGGTCTTGGCCACTGGCACGTCTGACAGCCCAGCCCGGCTGGGCATCCCCGGGGAGGCCCTGCCCTTCGTCCATCGTGATCTGTCGGCCCTGGAGGCAGCCACGCGGGCAGGCACCGTGTCCCCGTCCTCGGACCCCGTCCTCATCATCGGGGCGGGACTGTCGGCGGCCGACGCGGTCCTCTATGCCCGCCACTACAACATCCCTGTGATCCACGCCTTCCGCCGGTCCGTGGACGACCCCGGCCTGGTGTTCAACCAGCTGCCCAAGATGCTGTACCCGGAGTACCACAAGGTGCACCAGATGATGCGGGAGCAGTCCATCCTGTCGCCCAGCCCCTACGAGGGCTACCGAAGCCTCCCCGAGCACCAGCTGCTGCTCCTCAGGGAGGACCGCCAGGCTGTGTTCCGGGACCCCCGGGGCCTCCAGAAGGTCTTCGGCATCGCCCTGGTGCTGGCCCTCATTGGCTCCCACCCTGATCTGTCCTTCCTCCCGGGCGCAGGCGCTGACCTCGCCACGGACCCCAACCAGCCACTGAGCGCCAAGAGGAACCCCATTGACGTGGACCCCTTCACTTACCAGAGCATCCACCGGGAGGGCCTGTACGCCGTGGGGCCACTGGCCGGGGACAACTTTGTGAGGTTTGTGCAGGGCGGGGCCCTGGCTGTGGCCAGCTCCCTGCTGAGGAAGGAGGCCAGGAAGCCGCCCTAGCACCTGGCCTGGCATCCTTGCACCCAGGCCCTAAAGAGGAGGGGAGAGCACCACGGCCCTGCTGGACGCAGAGCCCATCCCAAGATGCCCCAGTGATGGAAGGGGGCCTCTCCTGGCAGGAGACAGGAGCGGCCATGAGCCCATGCAACGGCCCTCTCAGATAAAGAGTGAGAAACCCAGGCTGCCAGGACTCAGACCAGGGTGGAAAGAGTGACCACAGGACAGGGGAGGCCCAGAGCTGTAACTGGGGATGAGAGCTGCCGGTGTGAGCTGGGGTCACCGGGGCCAGCTGAGCACCGAGCCAGGAGGAACCCAGGCCCTGCTCTTCCCAGAACCGGGTCCCAAATAAAACCAGCGCCTGCCTGCACTCCTGTGTCTGAGGACTCTGTGCTTGGGGAGGGGGCCAGGTGCCCAGGACCTGCTCTGGGAGCTGGGGAGTGGGGGCGGGGGGAGAAGCACAGGGCCTGGTGGGAGAACGTCCTTGGGCTGGGGGGTTGGGAGTCAATGGATGGTGCCCCAAGAGGAAGGGCAGCTGAGTGGGAGCAGAGGAGACAGCAGCTGTGTTTGAGGAATGGGTGCTGGGGAGGCTTTCCTGCTCTGCCCACCTCTCCAGTCTAGTCCCACCCTCTCCCACTCTCCCTCCAGCCACACTGTCTCCTTTCAGTTGGTCCTTCATGGTCCCCACGCTTGCACCTGCCACAGGGCCTTTGCACAGGATAGTCTCTAGCAGAGGGCACTTTCCCCTCCTCTCTTTAACTCCTCTTCCTTCCACTCTCAGAGCATAAGGATCATTTCCTGTAGGAAGCCTCTTCTGACACATACCCCTCCATGGCCTAAAGGCAAATTCCCCTCTCATGGCCCAAGGTGCCACCTCTTCATAACAGTTCAGTTTTAATTGTTCATTTATCCGTGGAATCATTCCAGTATCTGGCTCCGCGCACTTGGATGTAAGCTCAAGGAGGCCAAGGAACTCGTCTGTTTTCCCTGTCCTTGGAACCCAGTGCCAGCACCAGGCCTAGCACCTAGCAGGTGCTCGTTTAATTCTTTGGGTCGGTGGGTGGATGGATGCGGGGAGTGAGGGGAAGAGGGTGTTCCGGAGTGAAGACTGGTTCTGGGCGTTGTTCAACAGGCGGGTGAGGGCTCACCGGGCGTGCACCTGGAGGAAGGGAAGAGTGAGTGCCAGCGGAGTGGTGGGGGAGACCCCCCGTGCGTGGGCGCTGATAGCCGGAGCCGGCAGAGGGCGCTCCGGGCTCGCCGGACACCGCGCTCCGGCCCCTGCGGCGGTGCCAAGGCGGGGCGGGGCAGCTTCCGAAGGGGGGGCAGCCCCCAGGGACGCACCCCCGCAGCCAGACCCCCCAGGACCCCGCGCCTGTTGGGTAGCGTCCAGCCGCCGCGCCCGGCCGCGGGGGGTGGGGGCTGTGGCCACGGGGCACGTGGCTCGGGGTCCGGGCGGTGCGGCCCCTCCCCCACTCCCGTCCCCGAGCGCCGGCCAGTCCCCGCGCGGCCGCGGCCGCGGGGGCAGAGGGAGGGAGGGCAGGAGGGCGGGGCGCACGGGCGGCGCCGGGGAGGGGGTCGCGCGGGGGCGGTCCGCGGGCCGGGCGGGGGTCGGCGGGCTTCCGGGCGGTGGCGGCGGCGGGCGCGGTGGGATGTGCGAGCGGGCGGCGCGCCTGTGCAGGGCCGGCGCGCACAGGCTGCTCCGGGAGCCGCCGCCGCAGGGCCGGGCGCTGGGCGGGCTGCTGCGCTGGGTGGGCGCCAGGATGGGCGAGCCCCGGGCGCCGCTGGCCCCCGCAGACCCCGCAGCGGACCCCGGCCCCAGCCCGGGCCCCGCCTCGCCGCGCGGGGGCACCGCGGTCATCCTGGACGTGAGTACGCGCCGGCCGGGACCCCGAGCCCCCTCCTCCGTCCCCGCCGGGACCTGCGAGGCCCCCTTCTCCCTGGGTAGGGACCCCCCCTGCCCCTCCCCCTCGGCGGCCCGGAGCAGGACCCGCACCGGCCCCTCCGCGTCCCAGAGCGCGGCCCCCTGCCCTTCTACCCCCCGGCGGGTCTCCATGCGAATCCTGTCTCGTCCCTGGACCGGGACGACCCCTTCCTCCCCGTCCCCTCCCTCCACTTCTGGGGATCTACACGTTCTCAGAGCCGGGAGCCTGGAGCCCCTCGACCCGGCCACCGCCCCCCTACTTTTGTTCTGGCCAAACCCTCATCTTTTTCCCGTGCCGCCACTTCATCCTTTACCCCCATCCCTTGCCGGGACGGGAGCCTCTGGCCGCTTCCGGCCCCCTCCTCCTCTCCATCCCGATTCCTGCCCCAGTCGTTACTTTTCTAAGACCACCTCCTCGCAACACACACACACACACACACACACGCACACGCACACACACACGCACACAGGCACACACGCACAACCCCTAGGTCCGGGGCCACCTTTCTTGTCCTGGCTGTAGACCCTAAGCCCTTGTATTCTCTACCCTAAATACCCTTCCCCCCAGGCACCACCTCTTTAAAAGTGAGGCCCCCTCCGCACCTCTGTCTTCCCGTCTCCTGTCAGCAGAGGCGGAGCCATCCCCTGTCCTCCCTGAGCCTGGACCCCTCTGGGGACCCCTATCCACTCTGAGCCCCGTCATTCCCTTCCCCACCCTCCCTCCCTCACCTCACCCCCATCCATCCCCTCCGGGGCCCCACCTCGCCCTCCCACCCACTCCCCACCGTAGGAGGGAGACTCTACAGGATGGATGTCCCCGGTAGAGTGCTGGGGGGAGGTGGAGGGAGCTTTGCCCCCCAAGGGACAGCATGGCAGTGGGGTGTGCCTGTCCCAGTGAGGGTGTCCTGTGTGGTGGGTGACCGCGGGCAGGGGTGCCTCTCTTGTGCATTGTGGGTTTCTGGGAGGTGTGTGTGTGTGTGTGTGTGTGTGTCACACATCGTTGTGAGTGGGGGGAGCGTGGATTTCCGCTCTCCCCTAACTCCTGGAGTCCATAGCTGGCTCTGGACGGAAAGGGCTGGGCAGGGAAGGGGGATCTGTGCTGTGAGTGCCTGTGGCTCAGTGCCCCCCGAAACAGGCTCACACACAGCCCGACACGCACTTGCACAGCTGAACCCTCTCAAAGCCCCAGCAGCGTTCACAGCTGAGAGTCCTGGGCCACCCTTGCAGGGAAGACCTGTCCAGACCTCTCCTGGTTCTCACAGGACTGGAGGTGGGCTCTGGAGTCCTTGCATGCTGGCCATGAGCTGGCTCTGAGCCTCCATTTCCTCACCTGTGAAATGGGCTGATGAGCAGGCATGGGGGCCACATCACATGGTCGTGTCGCCACTTGTTTAACGCTCAGGCCGGCACGGGCACCTGAAGGTGGGACCCCCGCCTCCGGGAACCTTGCGGAGCAGGCGTGTGGGGTGCTCAGGCTGGGGTTCTGATAACTGCTCCCTTCTCTGCCTCAGCCACAGTGGCTACTGCCCCGTGCCGAGGACTCAGGGTTCAGCTAAAGGAAGGGGAGATGTTTGAGAAGCCTTCCTGAGCTGCTGCTTTGGTTTGTCACAGCCCCAGGTGCTTGCTGATGGATGCCTGCCCCGTTGTTTGGAGGGAGGGGCCTAGGGGGCTCTGTCCTTGAAGGTGTGATGGTCACCCAGGGGGGCCCTGCCTTTCCTCCTCCTTCCATCAACAAGTCTTACTAGGTCCCAAAAACACCAGGAGGAGGAGTCATCTGGTTTCAGCTGAGGCTGGAGGGGATGGGGTTCCCCCCTCCCCACCCTTCCCGCGGCAGCCGGCAGCGGAACCTTGCATCTGCACCAGATTTCTGAGCTGCTGGCAGCCTGCTTCTACCCACTCCCCCACCCCCCAAATAATCCAGTTCTGCCCTGGCTGATCTAGTCATCAGGCCTCGAGGTTCCCTTAGCAGACACCTCTGTTCAGACTTAACCCAGCCTCCCTGGAGGAAACCAGGCTCCCGAGGGGTCCTGGAGGGGGGATGTATAAGGCCAGTGGCTGCATCCATGGGACAGGAATTCTGAGTGTGCGACTTGAGCGTCCAACAGGGCGTGCAGCCCATAGACCCACAGCTCTGGAAGCACACACGCAAGCACGTGATGGGTGTGAGCGTGTGTCAGCGTGGCCGTGGGCAGGCTGCCGGCACAGGAGGGAGAGTGGGCAGCTGCTTCCGCGCAGGCGGCGGGAGGACCTCTGCCTGAAACGCCCTCCCGCCCCTGGATCCCAGCCAGGGTGTCTTCCCCGGGGAGGGAGAAGGGGGCCCAGCTTCCCCAGACCACCTGGGGTTGGGGACGGTGGTCAGAAGCCCGCCCCTTCCGGGCCAGCGCTGATTCGACCTCTCTTCTCTGCAGGTATTCCGCCGTGCGGACAAAAATGGTGAGTTTCCCTCCCAGGCTGTCCCCTGAATGAGGACCTGACTCTTTCTGGTTGGGAGCGCAGGACTCTGAATCCTGCCTCTGCTCTGTTCCTCAGTTTCCCCATCTTACCATGGCACTCCCCGTAGTTCCTGCTTAGTAGGGGAGCCGTGCGGATTCAGAGAGCAGGTGCTGGTGATGCTGTGATGCCTTGCCCGTGGTAAATCCTTGATGTTCTTGAATCTCATGCAGTTGGGCTGCACCAGAGCAACCCAGGCAGGGGCCCAGGAAGCCCCCAGCCTCACTGCAGGCCCTTCCTGGGCCCTGGCACACCTGCTCCTCAGAGCCACCTGATACAGTCGGTGCGGTTGCCCCCATTCTGTCAACTCCGTAGTGGCCCAGGGAGGTTCTGTGACTTGCCCGGGGTCACCCAGCTGCATGAAGACAGTCGAAGCTCTGCTGCGGACCCCAGCAGATTTCCCCACTTCACGCGGCTTCCCGAACAAAGTGAGCACATTGTCGTGAATTCAGGGCCAGTGAATTCAGGACACTCCACTTCTCCTGACTTGCCGGAGATGTTCCACCCTGGACCTTTCTGGAAGGCAGAGGCCAGAAGCTAACAAGGTTTACTAAGGCCCACCTGAGCCTCACAGTGGCCACAGAGAGCATTTGTATAAATACCATAGTCGTTATTCTTGGGCCGGAAGCAACTCTCTGTGGACTTTAACCAAGGCACAGCCCCTCTCCAGGCCTCAGTTTTGCCATCTGTAAAGTGGGGTGATAACACGTAACCTGCCTGCTTCCGTGGGCTGTTGGGGAAGTGCAGGGAGGAGATGGGTGGTGAACTTTTCAAAAGAGAAGCAGGCAGTGCTCAGTGTTGATTTATTCATCCATCGAGAAAATACTCATGAAGTATCAAGGCCCGTGCTGGGGAAGGAGTGGGGAACAGATGGCCCATCGCTTGCCCACACCCCCCCCCAGGGCCTTCAGGTCCCAGGCCCTCTCGTGCGTGGGCTGGAGGTCAAGATGGCAGCACTC